AAGATACAAACACTAACATTATGGTTTCATTGTTCTGCTTCTGCTCTCTTCACTTCAAGAATAAAGAAAAATTTCCTGTTTATTGACCATGCCTACTCATTCGGTAGCTTATTCTACCCATTGTGCCAATCCTTCCTGTATGTTTGAGTTAGGATTGAAGGGCAGCCTAATGTGGTCTCATTGGCATTTTTTCCTAACTGCTTTAAGGTGATGCAAAGTCCTCTAACAAAGGACAATATGTTATTCAAAATATGAAAATAAGGAAATGTATGTTGAGAATCAAGCATCACGTTAGTTTAACTGATTGCAGTTAAGTTGCAGTGGGCTGCATTCTGGGAATTCATCATTGATATTTTAGGTTGGTTTATTGTTTATGTTACAAATTGGACCTTTTTCTTAGGATTCGGTAAACCCGTCTAAGTGTCATTTAGTTGGGCAAGCCAGTGGATGATAAATTACCTAATGAAGGTCCAGAGTGGAAGCCAAAGGATCTTGTGCTTTAAGAATGAAAGCATAGTAATCGTGTGCTAGTTAGTTGGCTGGTTTCTGCTGCCTGAATGGATAGAAAGGCACTGAAAAGTTGCCGTTCATGTGATTTTTGCCAACCAGTTCTCATGCCCTGTCAATACTCAGCCATCGTAAAAATGTGATATATCCAATACCATGTGTAATAGCCTTGATCGTACTGCAGGTTGATATTGGAATTAAAATAAATAATTGGTAATTAGGAGCAGTAAGTTAATGTACTGCACCTCTTGAAATCCTTTATAAGTTCTTAAACCCGTTTGTGTTCTTCAAAATTAATCACTTGGAAACCATTTTATTCTACCTTTTTCTTAGCTACTCTTGAGCGTCAAAGTTAGCAGGAAATTAGTCATGACCATTCACCCTGAAGGGTCATCTTTTCCTTCTAATATGAACTCATGAGTGCTGGTTGACATTTCTCAGGTAACTGCTGAAGATGAGTCTGGCATTCACATATGGGACATTAGAAAGTTGAAATTTCCAGTTGCAGATCTTCCTGGGCATTCACACTGGTATAGTTACCACATGAATTATTTTGATCCGGGCTAATTTCTATGAGGTCAATGATAAGTTGATAACTACATTTCATATGGTTTCGGTTTTTGTTTATTTTATTTCAATTTTTCATTGTTTTCAGTTTTTTAAATAGCTTTATTTGTTTTACTGTTTTGTTTCCCTTCATCAGCAGTTCCATCTGGACCTTTTATATGACTAAGATAGTGCACGTGCGATGCACGTGGTAGTTGGTGTGATTGAAAAATGTATTTTTAGTCAATCGACATTGTGCAAGTAAATGTGAAATTTAATAACAAAATTAATTAAGTAGGTAAAGTTGATTTTTAAACAGTGGACTAAATTTATATGAACTTATGCTCATATGCTCATATGCTTATTGCAAGTATCTTTCATATTTTTTTAAAAATTTCATAGAATTTGTAAATAACTACCGGAAGTACATGAGATGAGCATTATATTTTTGTTACTTATATTTTGTTTTTATTAAAAATATAATATTATAAATTATTTAAGTTATTTTTAAATCATGTTCAGAGTCATACCGTGTTTCATGAATGTTTGATATAGATTAGAGTTCCATAACAAGCAAAACTATTTATTTTTTAATAGTTTGATCCTTAAGTAATTATAATACAATTTTTCCACTAAAATTTTATTAAGCACAAGGACTT